GTAGGGAGGGGGGACAATGAGAGTGAGGTGGAGCTGGGGTGGCTGGGGCTGGGAGGGTGTCGGCTAAGTGGTGCAGGTGGTGGCGGGCGCGAAACGGCTGGCGTTCGTTCGTTAGGAGCGGGGGGGGGGGGGGGATCCTGATATTGTTCATCGTGTTGCGATCACCAGGTAGCAGTAGTGTACATGGGTTGGGATGATAGGCTAGGGGGTGGTGGCGGTGGTGACGCGATGAATGGGTGGGCTGGCGGCGAGGCACATGCCACAGTAGAGAAGAGCGACGACAAAGGCGTAGATGACAAAGGCAGCATCGCGGATGTCCCAGGAGAGGAGCGGGACAAGGGGAGCATCGATGGGAGTGTGGGCAGAGGGCACCATGAGATGACGACCTTGCATGATCAGCGCAAGGATGGCCATACCCGAAGCAGTCCAGGCCCAAGGTACGTCCTGTAGAGCCAAGACGGAGGCGATGATACATCGAAGGGTGAGAGCACCAGCATGGATGCCATCACTCGCCGAGTACATACTAGAGACAGAAGCAGATGCCAGACGAGTCGACCACAACGAGGCCAGCAGAGGATTCCTTGTCTTTGTTGTCTGACACATACACGGAGGAAAGCCAGCAAAGACAGCTGTGGATGCTACGATGGAGAGTGCGGTCAACAAGCAAAATAAACCCATTGCGCCAATGTGCCCACCGAGTATTCCAGCCACAGCCATAGCAATATACGCCATTAATTCACCTCCGTCCACCACTGCCCAACTCACACCACAAACAACTCGTCCAGCCATGCCCACCATACCGACACTCTCACAGACGAGGGTGTGTCCTCTCTCTCACACACACACACAGAGAGAGAGAAAGAGAAAGAGATGGAACACCTCCTCCTCAGTATCCCGCAGAGTCTCACACACCACCGAGCGAGAGAGAGAGAGAGCTGTGGCCATAACTGAGGCTGTGGCTGTGGCTGTGGCTCGGTTGCCACTTGCTCTCTCTCTCTCTCTCTCCGTCTGCTCTGCCCGCTCATGTCGAGTGACTCATTGATGGTGGCTTCTGCTAGTATTTTCAAGTTGGGCAGTGTGGAAGGCAGGCGGATGGTCATCGTAGGGCGGGATGGGATGGGGATTATAAGAATGACGATGATAACGTGCGATGTATGCTGAGATGATTGTGTGCCTTGGAGAGTTGAAGGGGGAGGATTGATTGTGAGGCAGTCGACAAATTGTTGATCAACAAGAGCAGCGTTCTCTGCATATCATTCGTCGCATGCATTGTGTCTATCTGTGGAAAAGATGATAGTGATAGTTTCTGTTTAGGTTGTACCTTCCACTGTTTGTGGTGTTTGCGGTAGTGTCAAGTCCATTGTCGCGCATATCACCAGGTTTGCTGCCTTGGCCATGTTGATCTACACTAATTCCACGTTCCCCAATCGATACCTCCCCCCGCAACGATTAATTCCACGTTCCCCAATCGATACCTCCGCCGCAACGATTAATTCCACGTTCCCCAATCAATAACATTCCCCAACGATTAATTCCATGTTCCCCAATCGATAACACTCCCCAACGATTAATTACATGTTCCCCAATCGATAACACTCCCCAACGATTAATTCCATGTTTGTACAACATTCGAGTCGGCCGCCACTCACAGGCACAGCCGACGGACACGAGCACGAGTCGCAGCGTAACAGCTGACTACACAAGGAAGGAGGCAGGAGCGGGAGATGTCTACCGAGGCGGTTGCTGGTGAAGACTATGGTGGTGGTGGTGGCAGTGGGGATGGTGGTGGTGGTGGTGGTGGTGGTGGTGGTGGTGGTGCGGGCACTGAGCTCGCGGACAACAAGTCGCCACTGACCGACGAGTCGCTCGGCACTGCTGAGGTGGCAGAGGTCGCTGGCGGTGGCGGTGGCGGTGGTGGTGGCAGTGGCGGTGGTGAGGAGGAAAAGGTGTCGGGCAATGGGAAGATTGGAGATAATTCAACGAGTGGGAATGCAAACGGTCCGAGACGGAAGCGGCGGCGACGGCGGCGGCGCAAGAAGCGGACATCGTTGTCGTCGTCGTCGTCGTCGTCGTCGTCGTCGTCGTTGTCGTCGTCGTCGTCGTCATCGTCATCGTCGTCGTCGTCGTCGGCTGCAGAGAAACCAAACAAGAAGCCAAAGCTTGGCTCTGATGAGGATTCAGAGTCGGGAACAAGCTCCTCGGAGGAGGACTCTGAGGAGGCGCGGCGGCGGAGGGTTGTAGCGACGCCGCTGGCAACTCGACTGCCATCGCGAGCGACACGTGGGCGGAGGATGAACGCGCTCATCGGCGACGAGCTCGAGGCTGACAAGACCTTCTGGGGCCACGAGACGTGGAAAGAGGACGCTGAGAACTACGTGGTCGAGTCGTCGGAGGAGGACCAGTACGACTCGGACTTTGACATCACCGAGTCATCAGGTGAGGAGCAGGAGGTCGAGCCCGAGACTGTGCGCAAACGGTCGACATACAAGGATCCTGCGCTGATGGCCAAGCGGCGGGCTGCGGCTGCTGCTGCAGCGGCAGCGCGCGGAACGGCGACTCAAACCCAGCGCCGTAAGCGCAAGCCCAAGGCTGCGGCGTCGCCGGGCTCACGGCGGCTGTCGTCGCGAGCAACGGCGGTCCGCCGGCGGACGCAACTGGAGGTCAAGGCTGAGGCTGCGCGCCAACGGGCCTCCAAGCGCAAGAGATCTAAGCGCAAGCCGGATAAGGTGTGGACCCAGGAGGAGCTGCTGGCCGAGGCCAAGCTTACCGAGGCCGCCAACATGGCCTCGCTCCAGCAGATTATCGAAGACGAGGAGGCCAAGGAGGCGGAGCGGAAGCGAAAGAAGCGCAAGAAGAACGCTGCCAAGCTGACCGGTCCGCGGACCATCTTCTACTCGCGCGATGGCGTCAACACAGTGACCTTTACCCAGCCGCCGTTTTGAGCTCTTTGCTCCGTTCCGTACGTGCTACGAGTGCCGCGGCCTGCGGAACCGTTGCGGCGGCTGGACCTGGGCCGGCGGTGATGAGTGATGCTGCGGGAGGTGGTGATGGTGGGCCGAGTGGTGTTGGGCCATAATCTGCTCTTGGTGGTGCTGCTGCTGACGCTCGATCATAGCGCGGATGCGGGCGGCCTCGCGGCGCTCGCGCTCGGCCTGGCGGGTGATCCCGGCGTACTGCTTAATCGACGGCGGCAGCGGGTTGGCTCGTGGGTCCTTCTGCTCGCGCTCGGTGAGCCAGTCGAGGAAGAGCAGCGAAGACTTCATCTGCGCCACGTCCTCGGCGAGCTCAGCAACCTTGGACGAGTTGGCGGCGGCAGCGGCGGCGGCGGCACCTGCGGCGGCGGCGTCGACCCCATCCGGAACCGAGATCTCGGGGCCCGAGCCTGGCGGCGGCTTGCGCGGCGCGGCCCACTCGGACGGCGGGATGTACCACTTGCCGTACTCGGTCTTGCGCGGGACGTGCGGCCGAGGCTTTGGCCCAAATGATGACGTCGGCAGCGGTGGAGTCCGCGAGATGTGGACGAGGTGCAGCGGGCGCTCCTCCTTGACAGTCGCCGTTGCGGGCGCTGACTGCCGCTCGGCAGCCTTGCGTCGGCGTGCTATATTGGTTGCCTTGCGGGTGGCGTGCATCCGCTGGGCAAGTGCCCGCGGCACGTCCTTGGCCTCCAGCCGCACCACTGTCGACTTGGACGACGGGCCCTGCGCCGAGAGCGACGGCAGAAAAGCGTCAATCTCGTCGGCGTCGAGGTCGTCCTCGCCGACCTTTTTGAGAAACTCGGTAAAGTCGACCACCACCTGCGAGGTCAGCCGCTCGAACCGCTCAAGCTCGTCCTCAGCGAGCTTCTGCTTCAGCTGCATCCGCTCCTCGGCGGTGTAAGAGGCGCTTGAACGCCGCGAGTCGTCGCCGGCTCCGGCCTGCGCCAGCCCGGCGGAGCCTGCCGTCGCTTCCGAGTCGGTGACGGGCTGGCCACGGCCGGCCAGCAGCGACGCCAGCGAGTTGCCACCGGCCGCGCTATCAGCTGCGCCGCCGCTTCGCGCCAGCCGCAGACCAGAAAGCGCTGATGCCGCCGCCTGGAGCGCACCGGCCAGCACCTTTTTCTGATCCTTCATCTTTGCAAACGAGCCGGCGGTTGTGTGTGACTGCTGGAGCTTGGCAACTTCGCTGAGCTCGACCGGCTGGCGACGTGCGAGCTGCTCGCCGGCGTGCATGGGTGGCGCCGGCGAGAACGACGGCGCCGGCGACTTGGACGGAAAGACGGTGAGGCCTGGTGACGGGGCAGGCAGGCCAGCCGCGTGCGGTGGAGGCGTGCCCGCCTCAGCGGCGGTGCGAGCCTCACCCTCGGTCGGTGCCTCGACGGCAGCTGCGAGAAACATGGCCATACGGTCAGCGGCAAAGTCGGTGTTGCGGTCGCGGGTACTCGAGGCCGATACACTCCCGCTCTCGTTCCAATCGCCTGTTCCATCATCGTGGTCATACTCGCTCGAGCGGTGGCTTGCCGCGCCGGCATCAACAACGCCCGAAGTAAAGTAACTGTCGCCGTCGAGCGCGGCCTCAGCCTCAAAGAGTGTCAGCGGATGGACCGGCGGCACCGAATCGCCAAAGAGCGCCACCATGACCTCCCGCTGCTCCTCGGGATCAAGGCAGCGCAGCTCGTCCGGCACAGCCTCGATGGCGGTGGTCAGCGCGTTGACACGCTCTTTGGCCTCCACACATCGCGGCTTGATCGGCAGAAGGTCGTCGTCAAATGGTGCGTCTCTCGTCATCTCCTTCCGCACCTTGACTCTCCATGGATCGCGGTCGTCGACACTAGCGGTTTCTGAGGTGAGTATAGAGTGATGGTATTGTGAAAGATGTAGAGGCAGCGGATGCCGACCAGTTGCTAGCTCTGGATCCGTCTCCAGGTCTGGGACCATCTCCAGGTCTGGGACCATCTCCAGGTCTGGGACCATCTCCAGATCTGGGACCATCTCCAGATCTGGGACCATCTCCAGGTTTGGATCCGTCTCCAGGTCTGGGACCATCTCCAGATCTGGGACCATCTCCAGGTCTGGGACCATCTCCAGGTCTGGGACCATCTCCAGGTCTGGGACCATCTCCAGGTCTGGGACCATCTCCAGGTCTGGGACCATCTCCAGGTCTGGGACCATCTCCAGGTCTGGGACCATCTCCAGGTCTGGGACCATCTCCAGGTCTGGACCATCTCCAGGTCTGGGACCATCTCCAGATCTGGGACCATCTCCAGGTCTGGGACCATCTCCAGATCTGGACCATCTCCAGGTCTGGGACATCTCCAGGTCTG